TCAGCAGGGCTGAATGCTTGAGGAGTGAATGAAAGGGTGGGAAGGCTGTGAAGTCAGCACTTCACGCAAGAGTTGTGCTGGGGCTGGTCAGAGTAGCTCCCAGGGGAAGGTGTTCACATCTCTTCATCCTCTTTACTCCCTGCCCCCCATAAACTGGTGCATCACACACCTCTGCTCACCCAGGCATGCGATCTGCCTGGAATGTGGACACCGTAAGGGCAGGTCAGTGCCTCTGTTGCCCACTGTTAGAGTGTAGCAGAGTGGATGGACCACAGTAGGACCTCAGTAAGTGTTTGTGTGGAATGAAGTCATGGATAAACCCACAGCACACCCAAGGGGAGGCAGAGGAGATTAGCTAAATGTTGAACATAGGAGTTATGACAGCGCCCAGAGGAAAAACTGCCAGTGATTCTAGGTGAAAGTCACATGCAAGAGCCAGGGAAATGGCTAGAGGCTGGGGAGATGGCTCAGTAGAATATGTACTTCCTTGGCAAGTGCAATAGTCTGAGTCCAACCCCTTGTTCCACACACACACAAAAAAGTCACGCAAGGTGGAGGGCTTGAACTGCAGGTGCGGAGCCTCACAGACTAATGACTGGGGCTCAGGGCCTGCCCCAGGTGAGAGTCTGGCAGCTGGATTTCTGCTGAGACAGAGAGGAGGATTTCAGATCACATGATGGGCAAAATTCCAAGAGGGGCCCCTCTCAGTCTGTCCTCCTGCCAGGGCACCCAAGGGATGCATTAATGATGGGTGAATAGATAGGATGGAAAACCCACCAGTCTTTGTCTTCCTGCCATCTTCTATTAGTCTCCCAGGAGAGTGGAGGTGCTGACGTGGTTTGGTTGGGCACAGGAGTGATAAATAACATTTCAGAGATGCTGTGAGCTCTTCCTTCCCCACTCCTTGGTGCTGAGAATCAAAGCAGAGCCTCACATGTTAGGCAAGCCTTCTACCACTGAGCTATGCTCCCAGCACCATTTCATTCTTGGTTGCTAAGCAGCCTTGATTCAAAAAAGCTAGTTAAAAAAAAAATAGAAACTTTTCTTATAGATTTGGAAATCCCAGCACAATTCCAGCGCAGGGATGCAGCGATGCAGCGACCACTCAGGCAGCCTCGCAGGAAAGCCCCTCTCCTTGGTGCTGAAGCAATCCTCAGGTGTGTGTGTGACACCCTCCCTTGCCAGATGCGCCGGGGCCCTGGAGCCTGATGGGAATCGATGATGCTCGATGCTCCCGATGCCTCTGCTGTGCCTGCCTTGACCCCATGCTGCCCATCCCCTCCATCCAGCGAATGCTACTGTGTTAGCTCCTTGGCCCTGACCTGTCTGTCCCGGCTTCCTCTGGTTCCTTTCCAGCCTCCAGCCAACTTCCTTCCATAGTTCACAGCCAAGCCAGCTGGAATTAAAACAATCTGCATTGTTTAAGAGGGCAATGTTTTTCCACAAAAGGGTTATTATGAAAATAAGATCGGGGAATCCCAAAGGCAGGAGGGGATGGGAGGATGAGTGGAGTTTCTGAAATTCAGACTGAGATCCAGGGGAGGTATTCTAGGGAGACAGGGAAGCTTGAGTGTTGAAGGATGAGCAGTCTTAGGAGGTCCCCTTAGATGAGCAGGAGGGGTGCTCAGTGCATGGGGATTTTGTAGCTTGAGACCTCTCACATGAACCCAGAGTAAGCCCAGTGTTTCATTCTGGGGCTCATTGTGTGAGGGAGGTCTGGGGGTCTTGGGGGTTGGGGAATCTCTGTTCTTACTCTTGCTTTTCCTGCTCAGATCAGAGAACCCCTAAGCCCCCAGGAGAAGGCATCCATTCTCCAAGGGGGCAGCTGACCTGCCATTCTGCAGCCAGTTGGATAAGCCAGAGTGGGCTTAGCTGGGTCTCAAGGATATGGGCGCTTGTGTCCTTATACCCACTGTGCAGGGAGTGGGGGGCTTGCTCCACGTCCTGCATGTCCAGTGGGGACCCGGCTCCTTCGCCTCCCACCAAATTGATCCTGCTGCTTGCAGAAGGCAAGAGGAAAGCCTTGTGTTGCTCCTCTGTGACCCTGGCCTTGGGCTAGGGTGGGTAGATACACGGCTACCTCTGTCCTAGTGTGACTTGCAAAGAGGGCTGCTCCTCACCAGCAGTGGCTAGGCTTCTGGGGAGGGGAACAGCAGAACTCACCATCATGCCACCCCAGTGCAGTTCATCTTCCTGATCACCTGCTTGGCATGTGTGACCATCCCTTGGTGTCTGCTTGTGGGCACAGGGGTCTCACTGGCAGTGTCTCAGGAGGGACTCTAGCAGAGTCCACAGTGCATTATGTGGGGACCCATGGCACCTCAGGTGTCCTGGTCCAGGCACATGCAGCAGTGAAGGACAAGTGTTAGTGGAGGTGTGAGATGTGACCACACTGCGGTGTGAAGCAAAGTCCTAGTGTCCTCACTTAGTGAGCCACTACCACCCGCAGTCAGTTACTGGCCATCTGAGAGCTTAATGAGGGACTGAGGGCAGATCCAGCCACACTCGAGCTACACCTTCCTGGGCCTGTGTGTGTGTGTGTGTGTGTGTGTGTGTGTGTGTGTGTGTGTGTGCAAGTTCTCATGTGTTTTGTGCATCCTGGGCTGGGGGCCTAAGAGGCCCTGGGATCTGATCGTCTGCCCAAGTCCTGGGAAGGGGGTGGAGCTATTTTGACAATGAGCTCCACACCTGCTCCTTTAGGGACCCCTAAAATCTGGAGGACATGCTCTCTGGGAAGCAGATGCATGTGTAACTTTCCTAAAAATTTGTCAAAAAGCCAGACCAAACCTTACCATCCCTGGGTGCCAGAAGCTTGGAGCTGTGCACAGGCGCTGCCCTCCATGCCCCCCCCAGGGTCCCACGTGATCTCTGCTCCATCTCCATGTTTCTCTTCCAGATATATATATATATATATATATATATATATATATTTTTTTTTTTTTTTTTTCTTCCAGATATTTTGGGCTAAGAACCAGGTTTATAAGGGAACCACTAACAGTTTTAGGATATTCAAAAGTCCTTAGAACTTGACTTAGACCATTTTGGATGTTTTTTTTTTCCCCAAAGGAGAGAAGATGCATAAGCAACACTGTGGAAAAGGTGGCTTTGCCACTGACAGAACAGAGGAGCCCTTTGAAATCAACCCCATTCTTACACTTCTGGGAGGGAATGGAATTGCTTCAGCTATGTGGGAACATTACTGGGTCACCTCCGTAGAGTTTCAGCTACACATAGACTTTGCTCCAGAAATTCTGCATGTGTGAGTCTGTTCTGCAGAAATAAAAGCACCACATTGCAAGATCATACATGTAAGGACGTTTATTGTTTGCAGGGGGAAATAAAACCCAACTGGTAATGGTCTGAAGGTCCATCAACAAGGAAAGGATTAAATCAACCATAGTATTCTGTACCATGCATATCACACAGCAACGTAAAAGGACAAGTTAGCCAAGCATAATATATTTGAGCATCTTAAAAGGGGGCTACACCCCAAGATGGAAGGAGATGGGCTTGGGGAAACAAGAAACCAAAATCATAAGAAAATGGACAAAAATCCTTGAATGATGGAAACATTTGGATTCTAAAAATTACTTGGCGGGCTGGGGAGATGGCTCAGTGGAATAAGCGCTTCCCTGGCAAGCACAAGGGCCTGAGTTCAATCCCCCGCTCCCCCCCCAAATCACTTGTATTACTATTGCAAATTCAGGTATTTGTATATATGGATGGGTAAGGAGTAGGGGCTTCAGGAGAAATTAAAACAAAAGCCAACGTTCATGAGCCCGAGAATGCAGTGATCAGTGAAATTATTCACGGTGTGAAGTGACCTTGGCAAGAATAATTCAGAAGCACCGCAGCGTCTTGCTCACAGCAGGTGCAGGATGACCCAGCTCAGGTGGGAGTCAGCCTCCCCAAGCCCACCTGTCCAAGAACCAATCTCCCGTTCGAGCCTCCCGTGGGAAGTGAGGTCCTCTAGGGGGCGCTGGGGTGCGCACCCTTGCAGTGCCGCTCACAGCCCAATGCCAGCCTCACCGTCTCGGTCCTCTTTCTTTCTCTATTCACATTCTTATTAATTTTTTCAAAAATGGGCTGCAAGACGTAACCCCCAGGCTTTGCACTCAGATCTAGAACTCACAGGGCTGGGGAAGCCCAAGGTGAGGGCAGTGTCTGCAGAGGCGGGAGCTACTTCCTGGGTCCTCCGTGTGGCCGCGCTCAGCATCTCCCGGTGGGATACGGGCCAGGAGGCCGCTCGCGGAGCCGTCCCGCCCCGGGTCCTCCGTGCTTCCTCCCTAAGACCTTCCAGGTGTGTCCTTGAGAAGAGCAGATAGCAACGGGAGCTCAGCATGAGCGGAGCCAACCTTAGCTGAGCAGTGCTGCAGATGAACTGCCCAGGGCGCGTCTTCCCTCCGGGCTCTAACCCGGAGCTGATAACGCCGCCCCGGGCAACTGCTCCCCCCCCCCCCCGCTGCGGCTGCGCGGTGTCCCTGGGGCTTCCGCAAGGCCCCCAGATGGTGTGTGTGTGTCTCAGAGCATTAGATTCACGTTTGACTTAAAAGATTAATATTTTTAATATTTTGAAGGCCAGTTAGGTGTTCCATCAACGCTTGCGCTTGCTTGTACTTCAGGCCCAGGTTTCTTTGGGGCCTCTCTAAAGACACCAATTCTTTCCAACTTCTTCGACGAGTGCTTTTGTTTTTGGAGTGGGAAGAGATTCACAGCCCTGGCCAAAGTCAAAGTGCTATCCCAAAGGCCGGTGGCGATGGCGGAGAGCACCATACACAGAAAGCATTTTTAAAATACTCGTGTGAAGGAAGCTAAACGTGTGTATAAGGGTTGGGGCGGGGCACTGAAAGCAAACACGTCATTTAAGAGTCTCAAGGTGCATCCATTTATCTAGGTTTTTTTTTTTTTTTTTTTCTTGTGGAACCAGGGATTGAACTCAGGCCCTTGTGCTTGCCAAGGAAGTGCTAATTCCACTGAGCCATCTCCCCAGCTCCCAAACATGTCATTTAAAAATGGTTTTCTTAGTACACAGATCTTTGCTGGTAGGGAACAGCAAGCACTGGAGCTGTTGGGGAAACAGAACCCTAATGCCACAGCGACCTGTTGCAGATCTCACCTCCCCGGGCCAGCTTGGCAGAATTTCCTCAAAGCCTGGCTCCTGAACCTTGGCCACGCTTCCTATCTAGTTTAGGTCAGTTTCCTTATTATATCTGTGTTTAACCACGTGGGTTAAACTAAACTCTTATTCACCAAGATATCAAAACACACAGCAGTTGGTCACATCTATATCTCAGTTTCCCAATAGAGCTCTGGTTGGGCTTGGGCCTTTTGACGAGCCATGGAGAGACCATAAGACAGCCCTGAGAGGAGCAGAGCAGGATAAGCAAACCTAGGCTATAGTTGAGCCCTGGTTCTGTTACTTTGTAGCAGTGTGACTCTGGGTGACCTGCTTCACCTCTCTGGGCCTCAGTTTCCCTATATGTAAAATAGGAATACAAATATTAGGGGGCATTCTTGGGGTAATATGTTCTTTGGTACCTTCAGAACACACAGGATGGGTGTGAGGGGAGACCTGGGGTGACTGCAGTTGGCTCACCGGCACATTGCAGGGGCTACTGGCTTCCTTTCAGGCTTATTTCATGAGGACCCAAATGAAGACCAGCAGGCAGAGTATCACCGGCTGGTTCACAGTCTCCCGGAACCCCGCTCCCTTTTCCAACCAAAAATCACAGTGCTTGACAGAGCAGAGTTCCTTGACCAGCCTCCACAGGATCTGCTGGTACATTTTGTCACCCTGCTTCTCCCGGGATAACTCGGCCTTGTTGGCCGCCTGGGTGGCATTGATGCAGCCACTGACCAGTATCTCCTTGGTCACGTTGGCCTCGGAGCAGCCGTCATACTGGATGCCGTCTGGGAACTGCCAGTAGTTGGCCTCGTAGTACCGGTTGCCCTCAGCTCCGAAGTCGATGTTCAGCTTGCGGCCCTCCCTGATGAAGGCCCCTGGGCGGGTCATGGCCACACGGGCCTCAGTGACTTGAGGCGGGCTGGGCGCAGCCTTCCGGCTCCACTTGATTCTGTGCTTTATGCCCCGTGATGCAACCAGGGAGAGGTGGCAGTGGAGCAGCACACAGACCACGGCCAGCACCCACACACCCAGGGGTGTCTTCATTGTGGCGGAGTCTGAGGGAGACAAGGACCGGCTGTTAGCAACCCACTGGCTCCCAGTCTCCTCCAGAGTGAGGCAGTTTTTCTTTCTTGGGATTGAATCCAGGGTGTTTATACTGAGCTATATTCCTGGTGTTTTCCTTCCCTCCCTCCCTCCCTCCCTCCCTCCTTTCCTTCTTTCCTTCCTTGCTCTCTTCCTTTCTTCCTCCCTGTCCCCTTCCTCCCTTTTTTCTTTCTCCTCCCCTCTCCCCCTCTCTCTGTCTTTTGAGGGAGGGTGTCACTAAGTTACTAAATTGTCCAGGCTGGGATCAAATGTGCATTCCTCCTGCCCCAGCCTCCCAGAGTGCTAGGATTATGGGTTTGTCCCCGTATGCCTTTCATTTTCTTTTTCTTCAGCATTGGATATTGAACCCAAGCCTCATGTCTGTGAGGCAAGTGCTCTACCATTGAGCCATGCCCCCAGGCCACACGGGTAGCAGATTTTAAACAAAGAAACTGCATCCTTGAACCATTTTCATTTTCCCAAAAGTAGCACAGTACACCCGTGCTTGGGCTGCACAAGGTCAACTCAGATACTATTTCTCTGCTTTTGCTGGGAATTTTATTCACTTGGGGCCCAATCTGGGCTTTCTCAAGCAGGTAAGGCCATTATGAAGCATTTGAATATGCATGAGAAAATAAATGAGTAGTGAACTCATGCACAGAGCGTTGCTGTAGCATTCCCCAGCTTCCCAGGCAGAGGGCTCCGGGAGGTAGAAGAGCTGGACCCAAACGCTTTTGCCTATGGACAGATCTTCATCCCTTTCTGTATGCCCTGATGTACAAGGCTAGCACTGTGTCAGGTATATTCTATCTTGTATTTTAAGAAAGTCACTGGCTCCTGGTGGCTGCTCCTTAAGATCTTTATAGGAGAGAGAGAGAGAGAGAGAGAGAGAGAGAGAGAGAGAGAGAGAGAGAGAGGACAAAGAAGAAGAGGAGGAGAAAACAAGGATGGAAACATAGTTCTGGGATCTCAACCTCCCCCAGAGTCAAGGGATTAAAATGTCCTAAAGGTGTCCTTTTCAATCCTAGCCTTAGGGCCCTTACTCCTCTCATGGGGTAGATACAGTAGTGCCCCATCTTTCAAGAAGCAGCAGCAGGCGGCAGGTTTGCACTCAGCTCTGTGCGAGGCTGACTTGAGAGCCCTGCATTGTGCCCTGCTGCCATCTGGACTTTGGTGGGAGATGGGGGGCACAAGGGCCCCTAAACCAAGCAAAAAATGGGATCCTCGAGTTGTGAGGGAAGCGAGAGGAAGGGAACGTAGGGAGGCCCAGGGACCCAGGGGATCCTGGCTCGAGGTGCCGTGGGCATCCACAGGGCTGCTGAAGTCCTGTCATCCCCCTCCCTGCTGCTGGGCGATAGCCAGATTGGGTTCCTGAGAGGACAATAGCCATTGTGGAAATCCAGCCTCAGGGCCAACCGTCAGGCGCATTCTGGCACCTGGCTTTTTGTCTGCATGGACCAGGGACACAGAAGCGTCCCTGTAACTGAGGTGGGCTGTCTTCCAGGGGAAGACTGAGTCCATGGATCTGGAGCTGGAGGAGACTGAGAGGACTCCACTTAGTCCCAATGCCCTCCACCCCACATTGCAAAGGTGATTAATGTTCCTCTGCTAAAGTGCTCCACTCTGGCACAATACTGGTTCTGGTGGTGCACCTCTATAATTCCAGCACCCGGGAGACTCAGGCAGGTTGGTTGCTGTGAGTTCAAGGCTACCCTGAAGCCTGAACTACATAGTGAGACCCTGTCTCTGAGAAGAAAAACAAAAATAAACAAATAGGGGAGAAACACAGGTCAAGAGCCTACCCATTTATCCACAAGGCTGTGGAGAACCCTTGTTCAGATGCCCTGGCTTCTGGGCTTGCTGGTCTCTGCCCCGTGGTGGGCACCAACCTGGCAACCCTGGCACCCACCTCCTTCTGCACCTAATCACAGTGAGCTCAGAGCAGCTTTCTCCAAAGAGCAAGCGCTCATCGGTCTCCTAAGGGCAGGGGCACACCCACGTCACCAGTCCTTACCTCCCTTTAGTAGGAGAAGTACTACATGAGGGAAATAACAGGACTTAGGTGAATCAATTTTTTTTTAAAGAAAGCACAGCATTCTTGAGAAAGACCTTAAGTTTGTGCCACAAGGGCTCAAAAATGCAGAATGGATTCCCAAGCAGCCCACCTGCAACTAGCACGGAATCCTAGTCTCAGAGCACAGCCAGGCCAGACCAGTGAGGTCACTCTCATGAGTCTCCAGGTGGGCCCAGCCCAGGACAGGGGAGGAAGGCAGTCCCTGCGGAGTGTTCAGCCTGTGGTGGGCAACTCCCCACCTACCTGCCGTCCTCTGGCTGTGAGGGCTGGAGCCAGCGCTGTGCAGTCCTGGGGCTCAGCTGCCAGAGCAGGGCTTGCCCAGCTATATAGCAGTGTGGGGGAGGGGGCTCCCTGTCGCCAGCCCTTCTCAGCCCTGCCCTCCTTTGACGGCCCCTCCTTCATCCTGGGAAGCACCGGCCTCTGCTTGCTCTTGACTGATATAACCATGTGAGGATCTTGCAGTTCAGGAAGGCCTGAGAGAGGGGAGACTTTAGAGTGGGAACTGGAAAAGGCTTTCAGTATCTGCCACCGAGGGGCTTGAACAAGCCTGGCCAGGCCCGGCTACTGTCTTGCTGTGCTCTGAGACTAGGATTCCGTGCTAGTTGCAGGTGGGCTGCTTGGGAATCCATTCTGCATTTTTGAGCCCTTGTGGCACAAACTTAAGGTCTTTCTCAAGAACGCTGTGCTTTCCTTAAAAAAAAAAAAAAAAAAAAAAATTGTGAGAGGACTACAGACCTGTAGGACAGGAGGCAGGATCAGAGTGAGATGACACCTCACAGATAGTGGGGCTGACCGTGGGCTCCTAGGAGTCTCTTGTCCTCTCTGTGGTACCCCACGCAGTGGAGGGGGGCTGGGGCCATTCCTGGGCTTCTCACAGCCCCAGCCTCATAGCTACTGTGTGGCCATCCAAGGACCCTCTCTAGCCAGGACCGGTTCAGGCGTCCCTGCTATGATCCTTACTGCAAGGCAAAATCAAAAGCAAGTTCTGGAGGTGAGAATAGGGAAAGATGTTCCTGTAACTATAATGCATTCTTAATCCTGAGAGTGACCCCTCCACTGTTCAGAACTAACTGCTCTCAGAACTTTTGCAAATCAAATTCAGAGGTAGTTTTTGAAATTACCAGCAGGTGGCGCCAGAAGAGTTCACAAAGACTGCAGGTGGGAAAACCCCATAGTTAAGGGCGTTTCTGCAGAGATGCAGAGCTCTACGGGGGTTTGAGGCCAGTACCTTGGCCTTCTTCCTCCTATGTTTTTATTTTTTAAAATTCTCTCTCTCTCTCTCTCTCTCTCTCTCTCTCTCTCTCTCTCTCTCTCTCTGTCTCTCTCTCTCAGGGTCTTGTTATTTAGCCTAGGCTGGACTTAGGATTTTCTTCCTAGGTGCTGGGACACAGGTATGTAT